TATATATATATATATATAATGACACTGGTCCTCCATGAATCCCTAGTTGTGTAGGTGAATGACGAGAGGAAGCAATCCAAGTAACAGGCATCTGCTCGACCAAGCATCAAATATCATGATTCACTTTACATTATCAAGGTGCTGTCATGACCAAATTTCCTTCTCATGAACCACGAAAAAGTAAAGCGACGCCTCGGGTGGCAAGGAATGTTTGATGCACTTTCTAAATACAACACTTGTAGTGAAAACACTGACGCGGTCAGTTTGAATTAAATGAGTCTTGTGCGTATCCCACTGGACCTTTGGATCCATGTTTTTGTATTTTCCCGTTTTTTTTCTTTGGAAGCCTCTGCACGGAGGACCTACTGTCAGAAGTGCCCTGCCTGCGTATTTAGTGACCGTGGACTATTCCGCCTTTTGGAAAGGCGCTAGCCACANTTAGCCACAACCCAGGGACGCGCCTGGTTGAATTCAGCTCTGCTTAACCTCAAGGTATCCGGGTACCCAGCGAGCTTCAGGTGGATTCGGAGCTGGGGTTGATCCTACATACTACACACAACCTACACCTTTACCGAAAAATGTACGTATGAGCCACCAGGGTGTACATTAGCTCGGGAATATGAGTCAAACAGTGTGTTTCATATAATGAGGGACAAAATAAAGAAATTCGGGTAAGTCGAAGGTAGGGTAGCCACATACGTCTTATCACCACTGATCGCATGTGGTCGTCCCTCCATGGCCCCTTGAGGTGCTTATTCAATCATTGTCATCGTATAGCGTCATACAGTGAGGCGAAATTCATTCATCGCTGCCAGACGCTGGCTGAAACCACCGTCAATGGTCTCCACCACAGTCGCTGAAAGGAAATTCAGAGCGGTGACCTCCAAGAGTCTGTAGACTAACGGTAGACCAATCAATTGAAGTTCGTGCAACGTGGGTATCCCGAACGAGTTCCTCTGTACGCAGCGGGCAACTTCAGGCCCATATCACGCTTCAGGATCTCCCCAAACAGATGCAAATAGTTTCTCATAAAAGCTGGCTATTAGCTGGGTAATGGCCTACAAATGAACGACAATCACTTTGCCTCATTTGCCGCTCATTGTAGCATGCATGCACAATTTGCGCATATTCCTGTGTATATATACACAGGAATTTGCGGATTACCGTAAGGTAATCTGCGAAGATATTCGCACGATTCACATGATGCATATATTCTATCAATGATTTAATTTCATCAAATGTATAAGATGCACAGTAAACAGGTAGGTGTATACGTACCGGGTTTGCGTGGAACGCCAGCGGGTATGAGAACCACATCGGCATCTTTCAGGCAATCTGCCAGGTGGCTGGGACCGTCATGAGCAGTAACTCGAGCTCTCGTCTCAATATGACTAAGGTCGGCAGCAACACCTTTTACATGCACGATGTCATATAATGCCAGGTGTGAAACCAAGGGTGATTGCTTCAATAACAGGGCAGTTGGTTGACCGATACCGCCACTAGCGCCGAGAAGGGCAACTTTTTGAGCAAACTGATAAGCGTAGGGGTTAAAGTTAATATTCACGAACCTTCGAGGATGTCGACAAACCACGAGTTCCCACCAAACAAGCAAATGTTGAAGCCGCTCGTGAAAACATCGCTAAACAACAAACTGGACGAGGGGGAGTGGATTATGAATAGCCTATTTAAACAAGCTATTCGTAGCTTCAAGGTCAACAGAAAAGAAATTTGTTTAGTATCCACAGGACCAATTATAGAACTTAACCATTGAGCATCCAAATTACTTTGTTCTCAGTTGGTGTTCTTGGCTCCAAACACTGCGTATTGGGGGGTTATTTTGTTACTTCCCAAATAAAAATGTCATCCAGCCTGAGCACTGAGAGACGTTAGACAAAGTCCACTTTCATCCAAAATTTGTAAAACGCTTAAAAAGTTTATTCTGGACAAAATGATTCGAGAGGGTATCATGAGCATTGATTGATCCGGGGTTAATTTCAGCTCACTTCTGTGCCCGGGAAGTTGAAGTCTTTAGTCTTGAGGTACTACTCGGGTTCGAGACCTATACCCAATAGTCCAGATTCTTTATTTGTCTACCTTTCTGCAGAGGTTAGAAAAAGGGAGCTGGTTCTAATATGGTGCTGCTGAGTTAGTGGGTGCATGCATCGGGAAAAATTGAGAGGAGGAAAGAAGAATGTGAGACGAGGTATAAGGGACAAGCGGCAAAAGTGGTGTCCTCCAGGGGATGGAGGCCAATTAGATCTGGGGAAGAGTAAGCCCTAGGTGAGAGTCTAGCAGGGTTTGAAGACTCTTTTCGAGGAGGAGTTCACAATCTCCAGTTGAAGTTTATTTTGTTCTGAGATGATCATGTGAGTAAAGAAATTGGAGCGAATGAAGGTTCTGGACGAGTGTTTGAAGAGTTTTCTTAGGTGTCCCCGTAAATGTTCCAGGATAGAACCTGTGAATGAACAGTCAACTTGGCCTGATGAGAGGCGGTTATACAGAAAAAATAGATCCACTCTGATATGTCGTATATCTAAAGGATATAGATTCAGTTGTTGTAGCCCCATAGTATAGGGAATTTCCGAGAGTCGCGGTCGCGAATGAGGCCAGAATGTACCATTTGGCTGCCATATTCTAAAAGCGGGCTTAGGTATGTTCCATGGATGAAAAGGAAGTCCTCTTTGGTTTCACGCGGGAAAGACCGGTTAATACGGCTTAATATATGAAAGCGGATTTAATGGCTTTCTGATTGTGGGAACATTCAAATTCAAATCACAGGAGGCCTTCGCTTGTTGGGTGTCCTGGTAATGGCGGGTTCCGTCTGTGGACCAACTCGCCTGCGAGTGTAAAGCTTCTTCCGACTCTCTACGAGGGAGTAATATCTGGAAGGTAGAATGGAAAGGGAGACGGCGCAGTATCTGTTATATGCATTCCATCATTAAACTTAGGGCACCCTGATTCCTAGGGCAGTTCTGGGAATAAGAGATACCACTCCTTGTCCAGCTCTAGTTTGAAATCCTACATTGTGGGACATTCAAATATTCGAGCTGGTAGTCTGTTCCATGCAGGGACTACTCTATTTGCAAAGAAGTGATGTCTAATTGCTAGCCTGCACCTGAATCTCTCTAGTATGTAACAGTGCCCTCGGAGAATGTTGTTGGCCCTCAGGGTGAACAGGTGCCCAATGAGGGACTGCTCCATGTAGCTTTGTACGCGTCAATGAGGTCCCCCCTCATCCGTCGGCGTTCTAAAGAGAACAGGTTCAGGGGGTTCAGTCTTTCGGAGTAGCTGAGTTCTTTTTAGTTCCCAGACCATCCGGGTTGCTAGCCGCTGAACGTCTTCTAGGACTTTGATGTCCTTCTGAAGATAGGGTACCCAATCCTGAACACAGTACTCGAGGTGAGGCCTTACGATGACTGTGTACAGGGGTATGAATACACTGGGACAACGGTTGGTGATTGCCGTTCGGGGTCTAAACATAGCTCGTCTGGCTGCTGCTACAGTGGTAGAGGACGGGCAAAAGGTGTTGAAGACTCTTATCCCGAGGTCCATCGTCTCTGATTTGTAAGCTAGGGTTGCATATGCTCCGGCCGTAGTGAGGATCTGACGGGGGATGGGATGCGTTATTTTGGCTAGCAGATGCCTCTTCAATGTCTTGAGTGGGAGTTCCCATTTTTGCGACTACTCGCATATCTTTAAGATATCACTCTGCAAGGAGTATCTGTCGTCCGGGTTTCCAACTAATTTGATGTCATCCGCGTACAAAAAGCAGGGGTTCACCAAACCTGATGTTATTTCGTTGACATAGACTAGAAAGAGAAGGGGAGCTCGGATGCATCCTTGTGCGACCCCGCTCGTGGGGGAACCCACCTCCGACAGACATCCCCGCACACGAACCCTGTAGGTCCGCCCGGAGAAGAACGCTCCAACCCAGTTACAGACTTTCGGATTAAGACCAGTTTCTCGGAGCTTGAAATCTAACAACCTGTGGTTAACTGAATCGAATGCTTTCTGGAAGTCCAGGTAGCACACTACGACTTCCGTTCTCTCATTTGATTTCTGTGTTACTACGTCTAGGAAACATAACAGATTTGTTAGACAATATCTGCCTTTGATGAATTCGTGTTGGGCGTTGAAAAATAAGCCGATTTGAAGAAGGTGCGCGCTTATGTAGTCTCGCAGAATACGCTCCAGGAGCTTAGCAACGATACTGGTGAGATTGATCGTACGATAGTTGGACGGATCCGATTGGTTACCCCCTTTACAGATTGGAACAACTGTGGCATGTTTCTAGTCCTCCGGAATCCGGCCCGTGTTCAGAGAGTCGTTGAACATTGTGACTAGTTGGAGATCATTAAGGTTTTTATCGGTTTAATGACGGCTGGGCGGATATTATCTGAACCCGCGGATTTGGAGATTTTAAGAGTCTTAAAGACTCTTTCCACGTCCGGTGTAGATATCACCAGATCTGGCATGCCGCTCACTCGATCGAAGGTAGGGTAGTTGCTCAGGCTATCCAGACGAAAGACCTCTTGGAAC